CTTGGAAGAGAGACGAAACGTTTCATTAAAGAAGAACCCGTCCAGAGGACCTATACAATTTTTTTTCCTTTTAAACAAATGTTCATAATTAATTTCAATAAATTACAAGTTAAGAAGAATATGAACATTTCTTTTTCTTTATATCGAAAAAATATCAAACCGAACCGAATCATGAATTTTCTGTATCGTTGCATCCCTAATATATATAAAACAGTTTCCGCTAAGCATGAAAATGACAGGGTGGTGATGAGAATTACCCAAAGGAACAATCTGGATTAAATATATTTTAATTGTGTAATAAAGCACAGCCATGCTGTTTCATTTTCTGTTTAAGAAGTGAGGAAATATGACAGATCCAAAACAAAAGAGAGTTAAATTTCAGAAATAAAATTCTGTCCAAAATGCTGAAAGGCATTCTAAAGAGTCTGTGAAATCCTCATGCTAATAAAACTTTCAGGAAATCCCTGGATCTACAGCCGTTAAACGTTTTGGAGTCAACTTTAATGCCAACAACTCAAGTCAGTTTTACAAATTTGAGCTGAAAACAGGTGGTAGCTGAGTGTTCTTCACTGTGCATCATTGAAGGCTGCCCTCAAAGCTCCACTGTCCAGCTTTCTTCTTTTCATTTTAGTTGCATCAATTACAGATGATAAAATAATCATCAGCAGCTGCACATGACAAAGAGGAAGCCTGTGCTGTCCTGAGAGCTGCCCGGCTGATTGCTCACGAGTTCTAACCAAAAACCACAAACCTCAAAAAATGATGAAAACTATAAACTGCTGAGTCATCTTAACGGCCGCATAACTGTAGCTGAGTCTTTGCCCTGTTGATCTTATCTTCTTACTGGACTCCAGCAGGACATGTAGCATAATGAAGAGAACTCTGGCAGATGGGACTGAAACATGAAGCCCAGTGCAGCCGAAACATTTCAACCTTATTTGATTATATTTTTTAGTCATATGGTCTTCAGAAAAATGGTTTGTTAGAGGAGGTTGTGTATTGGCCACTGGTGCTGCCCAAGCTTAGTCCCTAATGTCTTTTCCCCCCTTACATTACTTCTACTTTTAATTTTTTTTATTTTTTATATACTTTAGACAGATTTAAAACAAGTACTTTTACACTTTTACCTGAGTCAAAAGCTTAGGGTGACGCTTCAACTTCTAAAAAAGTCTTTAAATCCCATTATATATACTTTTAATTAATTAATGAATGTGAACATCTCTGTGCTTCACGCTCTGTCCTACCAGTTCCTCATGTCAGAACTGAATTAGAGAAGAGCGTTCAGCTTAGCTGCGCCCTTGACCATTGTTGTATAAATTACCTCAAAGTGATACTTGAGTAAAAATACAATAACTTACCATAAAATTACTTTAGTAAAAGTTAAAGTCTCCTCTAAGAATATGATTTGAGTAAAAGCCTTAAATTATCTGATATTTTTTTGTACTTAAGTATCAAAAGTAAATTTCTGACATAAAATGTACTTAAGTATTAAAAGTAAAAGTACTGAGTAAGAATGAGCTGTTAGATTTTCTAAAATATTTAATTTATTGGG